GCTCAAGTCAACAACTTCTGCGGATAACCCACTACTATTGTGAACTGCTGGATTGTGTTGGATTGTTTGGCTGAATTCAAGCACCTGTAGTATTTAGATGCCAATAGAATACCCATCTCGGACAGGACTAAACAAAACAAAAAAAAGGGGATACAAAGTAAGGACCATTTTGTATTTGTATATACAGAATAGTTAGGATAGATATACAGCTACTTTCACTTAATTCAGTGAGAAGAAGGATTTGTACTAATAGTGTTTAGACAGGATATTCTGTCTGTTTCTTGTACTATGGATAACCACTAAGAAGATAACAATGTACAGGGTATTAATTATTGAAACTGTCCTATTAATCAGCTTTGAAACTGTCTCATTGATATTTGTTTCTCAATAAAATAAAATTAAATTAAAAAAAAAATCTTTGCCTGGTCTGGTCATGTGGATCCTGAAAAAGCCAGGAGTTGGGAGGTATCAGGTCCACTGAATAAGGTAGATGAGGACACAGCGTGTTTTCATTTGACAGAATGAAATGTTTGGTGTGTTTTGATTTGTTTCTTTTTAATTTATGTATTTGGTACAGGGTCTTGCTACACAGCTCAGACTCCTGGTGGTCCTCCTGGTTTTCAGCCTCCTCAGCACTGGGATCACAGGCTCAGCATGCCTGGGGTGGGCCCAGTGTGGCACCTGGTGCCAGGGATTGAACCCAGGTCCCTGCGCCTGCCTAAGCAGGTGCTTTAGTTCATTGAGCTATCTGCTGGCCCTCTGCAGACTTTTGCACCTGAGAGGGGTTCTCAGGTTGGCTCACAGCCCCACGTGCTTATGGTGTCATTTCTTTTCTTTTTCTTTCTTTTTTTTTTTTTTTCTTTTCAGAACCAGGCATTGAACTCAGGCCCTTGCACTTGCCAGGGAAGTGCTTATTCTACTGAGCCATCTCCCCGACCCCTATGGCATCATTTCTGACAGCGTCTTCTACTGTTACATGTCATCTTTTTTTTGTTTGAAATTCACCAGAACCCCAGCCCTGGAAGGCTGAGGCAGGAGGATCATTGAGAATTTGAGACCAGCGTGGGCTACAAAATGAGCTCACAGCCAGCCTGAACCACACTGCAAGACCCTGTCTCCAAAAAAAACACTCACTGGGTCTTTCACTTACCCCTGTGTGGTCACACTCAAGTAACCTAACTAGGATGGAACACCATGTTAGAGGTGAGCAGGCTGAGGCTGACACAGCTGTGACACTGTCCCTCTTAGACCAAAGGGGTTGTTGGTGAAGAAGCAGTGTTTAAGCAAGGAGGACAGGGAGGAACCCCAGGACCCACGGCAGGCAGTGTCTCCCAGGGGGCCCAGAAGCTACAGGAAGGGGGCTGGCCTTCCTTTTTCTTCTTTCTTCCCTCCCTTCCTTCTTTTCTACAGCCCTGAGTGTTACCCGATGTGTGCAGTCCCTTCTCACTCTATGAAATATATGTGAAAATAAACCAAAGGAAAATCAAAGGCAGCAGCAGAATGCTGAGACAGAACAGCTGCACCCCATGGGGAGCTCAGCTGGGGAGGAGCCTCTGGGGAGAGTCCCAGCCCTCGAAGTGGTGGGGGTGCCCCAGGCAGTGTGGAGCAGGGTACGAAGGTGCAGGTTGAGGCGGCGGGATCGAGGAGTGGCCCGAGCCCAGGAAGTCAGGGTCACTTGCTGAGCTCTGGTGCCCCGCCACTGAGCTGGTCTGTAGGGCTCAAAGCCCTGCCTCCCCCACTCTAGCTGTGGGGAACGGGTGTCTCGATAACTTAGTGAGATGCCACCTCAAAGCAAAAAATAGCTGCGGATATAGTTCAGTGTGAAGGTTTTGGGTTCAAAATGAAAAACAGGAAGAATGAAAGAACGTGCCTCGGGTCAGGGGCTCTCTAGCTGCCACCCCACTCTGCTCCGCCAGCCCATCCACGGCAAAGCCCCCACATAGCCCTTCTCCCCACCCTGGGACCTACAGGCCACCTTCTCGGCGTGGCTCAGCTGCGTCCAGCTGCTCTTCTCCTTCTCCTTCAGGATGCGCTGCTCGGCGCTGAGGTCCGTGCAGAAGGGATCATCTGGCATGGGGTAGTAGCGCTGGGCGTGGTGGTTGGTATAGGGGGGCATCTTGGCCTGGCCGCCAGCTGCATGCACAAGGACCAGGGCTGTGTCTGGGCTGCCCCGGGGCTGCCCATCTTTAACTGCACACAACGACCTTTCTGGGGGCACTGGCTGAGTTTGCCTCCCAGGACCACATTCTGAGGTAAGGGACCGGAGGTGACATGCAGCAGCTAAGTGGCTGACTGGAATTCACTGGACAAGAAAGGGCAGGGCTCAGGCTGCAGCTCAGCCCCTCTGGGGTCCCATGCTATGTTCTCTGGGAAGATCCAAGCAGGGAGGTCATGTCCCGTGTGGGCCACAGTGGGCTCAGACTTGAGGCAGGAACTGAGATGCTGATGCGGAAGGAAGGCTCCGCCATCCGCGAGCACTGCACAGGCCTGCTCAGGGGCCAAGGACACAGCTCTGGAGCCAGCTGGGTGCGAACCCGGTTGACCCACCTCCATCAGGTCCTTCACCTCGCCCTACCTCAGTGTCTTCATGTGGACAATGCTAATTGTCCTTCTGGCTAATGTGCTCAGGCTTCCCATGGTGCTGGGCACATAACAGCTGCTCAGTAAAGCAGCCCTGCTCACTGGGGTGGCTTTTTCTATGGCCTCTGCTCCTTGAAGTTCTCCAATGGGTCAGCCCCTGTGCTCCCCAAGAGTGCCCAGCATGCCCAGAATAAGTTTGGCACTAGGAAGGGGCTCCCTAAAGGTTATTTTTACTGACACCAGAGTTGCCCACCAGAGGGGCATTGGTGCCACCTTAAGGCACAGTGTTTGAACTCTGCCTCAGGCAAGGAATCCCACCTCTTTCAGGGTCTGGGACTCAGCATGCTCTCCAAAGAGATGGAGGGGCCTAGTCTCCCCCTCACAAGGTTCTTGTGAAGTCTAATGTTTATCGAAGCCTAGATAAAATGACCTCCAAGGGGTCCCATCTCATGCTCGTGAGGGGCAGAAAGCTCCTTGCACAGCCTGGCTGAAGTTGCCCCTGCTTCTCGCCTATCTCCTACCTGGCAGGGGCATCAAGGGAGCATGCAGGGGCCAGGGCCCCACATCCCCTCCCCCATCTGCTTCAGCACACAGGCTGAGGTGTGGGGTCCGGCCCAGGGAAGCTTGGAACAGGGGTCTGTGCTCTGACCAGCCGTGGGCTCCCTCTCCTGGAGGAGCTGCTGAAGACTAGGAGTGGGGTGCAGGGAAGTGGTCTGGAGGAAGCCTTCAGAAGGGACCTGGCTTAAGTCTGGAGTTAAATCGAGAATGAGATCCAGGTCTTACCGGCACCTCCTGGACTGTGGGTCCCCCGCATTCCAGGTCCTCTCCTCAGCACCAAGCTCCAGGCAGCTCTGGAAAGCATCTGGGGTGGGGGTGGGGAGTGAGTTCTGCCCCAGGGGGCCCTTCAGCTGGGGGTCCCCAGAGTTTCAAGGTCACCTATATGCCCTGGGCAAGGAGATCCTAGACATTTGCATCCCCTTTTCTGGGCCCTTAACTCATCATTTCAGAAATGGAAAGAGGCGGGCATAACTCACCGGTGGTGTGGTCTGAGCAGTTCGGGGCTGGAGGCCTAGGTTCTGGGCCTTTACAGGTTAGCAACCCCCCTCTACTGCCTGCCTCCAGGGGAAACTGGCAGGGAGGCCAGTCCTGAGCTTTCCTCTGCAGGGCCATCTGAGGAGGTCGCTGTGCAGATGGCCAGGGGGGCCCCTCCCCCTAATTGGCTGCCTACGTGCAGGGAGCCTGCTGGAGCTGGCAGGGAGGGGACAGGCACTCCCCACCCCTACCCCCGGGAAGTCTCAGGGTCTGGCCTCCCATGGGGTAGGGAGTGGTTTTAGAGGACGGGGACCAAACTGGGTCAGAGGGAGGGGCGGGGAGGGGGATCCCACGTCTAGGGAGATAGGCACCTCATAACTAGACAGCAGGAGAGGGCACCCCATGGTGGTGAGCTCAGGGCCTCCATTAGGCAGAAAGGCTGGGGTCGGTGATGGGTAGGAGAGCCCGCTGTGGAGAGAAGTGCGCCCCTCATCCTCGCCAGGAGGGGGTCCCTAGTGAGGATCCCCGACACTGCTGTGGCTGGGGTCCAAGGATTCGCCCCAAGGAACAGGGTTCCAAGCCAGGGTGACGGGGTCCTCGCACCCACTCACCTCGCAGGCTGGCGGCGACACTGCGGAGCGACCACCCGGGGCTGCAGTGAGGAGCCGAGAAGGTGCTGCAAGGGAGGAGCGCGCGCCACCCCGGGCCCGCCCCCCGCTGTCCCCCGCCCCCGCGTGGGAACGTCCGCCTCAGCGTCGTGGGAGCGCCCAGCTCAGGTCCCTGGGGGAGCCCCGGCCAGCAGCCAACCTAGAGTACTGAGACCGGCGCCCACCCTCCTGGTCCTTCCTGGTGACCCTCAACCATAATGCCGGGAGTCTGCGCGCTGGGGACCCCAGGAGCGGGGTGTCACGACCCCCAGGCCTTCACTCCTCGAGCTCCACCTGCAGCGCCGCGTCAGCCCAGACGGGGCCAAGTGCCGCCGGCTCCACAAAGCCTTCCCGGACTGCTGCCGAGCGGAGTGGGCCTGAGCTTGGCTCTCTAACCTCTGGGATTCAGCTATAAAGACTGAATGCGTGGGGTCGGGGAAATGGTTCAGTAGAAGACGGGCCTGAGTTCAATCCCCGGTTCTGGGGGGGAGGAGGGGAAGACTGAATTAACAGAAAAGCCCCGCTTACGTTTGTCCTGGAATTATTTATTGAGCTACTCAAGCGGCCAAGGCAGGAGGATCTGAATTGCAAGTCCAGCCTGGTCAACACAGCCAGAACTCTCCTTCTCAAAAATAAATAAGACTTGTTCCAGTGGATTTTTTTTTTTTTTCTTTTAAGAGTAGGAAAATTATTAAGAGAGAGCTCCTGAGAGACAGGCGGGGTCCTAAACGGGTTGCCAGCATTTTATTACCTAGCCAAATACTGAAGGGGGTGCTGGTGAGATGGCTCAGTGGTCTAAAGCACCTACTTAGAACAAGTTTAGCAAAGCACAGGGACAATCGCGCAGCACCACATGCCAGCTGGCCACACACACACACACAAATAAAATTTTATTTTTATTTTTTTTTAAATTATTTATTTATTTGTGTGTGTGTGTGGCCAGCTCAGCCCACCAGGGGGCAGGGCTGGCTGGCATGTGGTGCTGGGGATTGAACCGCGGTCCCTGTGATTTGCTAAGTTTGTTCTAAGTAGGTGCCTTAGACCACCGAGCCATCTCACCAGCCCCACACAAATAAAATTTAAAAAAAATACTGAAGCGTTTGAGTTGAGCAGCGCAGACAGGGTTCCTGCCCTCGCAGGGCTCACAGTACAGTTCCAGGCAGAGGAAAAGACACAGCCTGTGTTCGGAAAAGAACAGAAGAGCGAGGGCTGAACCTCCAAGCAGGGCTCAGGAGCCCTGGTGAGGAGCTTGGGTTTGATTCTAAACGTGGGGGGGAGACAGGCACGGTCAAAGCCACCTGTAACCCTGAGGCAGTGGCAAATTGAAGTCCAGCCTGGAACCTCTCTCAAAAATTAATGAATGAAAAAAATTAATGAATGAATTAATTAAAAGGGCTTGGAATGTAGCTCAGTGGTGCAGCACTTACCTAACATGCACAAGGCCCTGAGTTTGATTTTCCATTTCTTAAAACTATATTCCTGTGGGTGTGGTGATGTACACCTGTAATCTCAGCACTTGGGAGGCTGAGGCAAGAGGATCGTCGCGAGTTTATGATCAGCCTGGACTACAAAGTGAGCTCAAGGCCAGTCTGAACTGCATAGTGAGACCCTGTCTCAAAAAGACAAAAATAAATAAATATTCGTTAAAAAAAATAAATAAAAGTATATTTGTGGCGGGATATGGTGGTACATGCCAGTAATCCCAGCACTCGAGGTAGAAGCAGGAGGATCACTGCAAGTTCGAGCCCAGCCTGGGCTACACAGTGAATTCATGGTCAGCCAGGACTACACAGCTCCTGTCTCAAAAAAGAAAAAAAAAAAAAAAAAAGTACACACATATGACTTTTATTTTTATTTTCTTGGCGGAACTGGCGATTGAACTCAGGCTCTTGCGCTTGCCAGGGAAGCGCTTATTCTACTGAGCCATCTCCCCGGCCCCTGTTTTGTCTTTTTGGCAAAGGACTAAGGAGAAGGTGCAAGAAGGAACCTAGACACGATGCGCGTCCCCTCCGTCCTCGGCTTGGGCAGCCTTGAGAAGCCCACAGGCGAGGTCTCGGCTTCAGCTCCCCGCTCGCGGCCTTGGGGATCCCGCTCTGCGCCCCCTGGTGCGGACTCTCGGAGCGGCTTCTGCCCTTGCCCAGCCTCACCTCCGGGACGTAGACCTGGGCGTCCTGAGACCCCGGGCCCTAGGGACCGAGGCCCGGGCGGCCCCTCCTCCGCGCAGCTGCAAGGACAGCGCCTCGGGCTGAGCCCTCCCGACGCGGGCTAGGTGGGCACAGCGGGGTGAGCGGCCCGCCGGGGGGCCCAGGGCTCCCCGAGGGAAGGCATGTGGGGGGCACGACGCCCTGTCCTCCCAGTCCAGCCGCCGTGGGCACCCCAGGAGCAGAGGCGGTGACAAGGAACATCTGCGTGGGTGCCGCCCGCCCCGGGGCAGTCAGGGCGGCTGGGGATCCTCTTCCCCGGGTCCCGAAGCGGGACCGGCACTCGCCCGCGGAGCAGGGCGCTCCGGAGCCGCGGGCCGGGGCAGGAGTCTTCCCAGGTGCGGTGGGCACCGCACGGAGGGCTCCCCAAGGAACATCGCCAGCCGCGCCCCGCCAGGCTCTCCCTGAGGCCCTGCAGCTGGGACAAGGGCGCCTCGAAAGGGCAGCTCTACCTCCCGCGGCTCCTCTATAGACCCGACGCACGATCTCGGCATCGCGCGCGAAGCGCGGCAGAAACAGAAAGAGGTGTGGGAGAAAGCGCTGCGCGGCGACAGCACGCGGCGGGGCAAGCGGGCGGAGGGTGGAACAGCCCCCGCTGTGTCCTCAGAGAGGCGGGGCCAGAGCGCAGCCCGCCGGAGGGGAGGGGCGGGGCTTCTCCATGGGGCGGGGTCAGAGGGAGCAGGGCTGGGCGGGGCAATCCCGACTCCAGAGCAGGAGTTTGACCCAGTGAGCGTTCCAGAGCAGGATCTGACCAACGGTGCCAAGACCCAAGGCTCCAGGGGTTGGACCAGAAAGAGCTTGTAAAACTGGGTGGTGCACACCCGTTATCCCTGCACCTAGGAAGGCTGAGGCAGGAGGATCTCCAAATTCGAGTTCCGCCTGGGCAATTCAGCAAGACTGTGTCTCCAAAGAAGAATCTAAAAGGGGCTAGAATGCCATGGTAGCGCAAGCCTGCAATCCCGCACTTGGAAGACAGAGGGAGGAGGATGGCCTCAAGTTTGAGGCCGGCCAGCCTGGGCTACATGGTTAGTTCAGTGACAGCTATATAACAAGAGCCTGTTTCAAAAAAAAAAAAAAAAAAAAAGGAAAAGAAAGAGACTAGAGTTATGGCCCCAGTGGAAGAGCACCTGTAGATTCAATCCCCATCTCCACAATAATTATGATTTTCTTTAAAAGCGGACACAGGGGCTGGTGAGATGGCTCAGTGGTCTAAAGCACCTACTTAGAACAAGCTTAGCAAAGCACAGGGACCGCGGTTCAATCCCCCAGCACCACATGCCAGCCAGCCCTGCCCCCTGGTGGGCTGAGCTGGCCACACACACACACACACACACACACACACACACACACACACACAAATAAATAAAATTAAAAAAAAAAAAGCGGACACAACCACTGCTGACAGTGCATGCTAGTAGTTCAGCTACTTGGAGGCTGAAGCAAGAGGCTCACTTGAACCCAGGAGTTTGAGGTTGAGTCCCATGGGGATGGTGGCTCTCAATGGGTTAATTTTATCCTAGCAAAAGAAGCTCTAGTTTAGCCTTTAATCCACCTTAGAGAGAAGAGATACTAAGGCAGAGTCACCTCTCCTCACTCCTTCACTCCTTTTCACCCTTGTTAAGATGTTGTAGGTACTTAAGCAGAGAGGAAACAAAGAATGATAGCAGATGTGTTTCTGATCTGTAAGGTGTAAGGTTTGGGGACGTGTGTTCAGACACTGGACATTTGAGATCTGTAACCTGGGAAGGGTCTGATGGCTGGCTTTATTAATAAACTCTTTTTTTTCCCCCAATTTTTGGTCTGATGTGGAAATAATCTTGCCATTTCAGGGCAACCTATCAAGGCCCTTGTCACACACACAAAAATTAAATCTAAAGTAACATAAAAATGGGGATAGGCTGGATCAGAACCGACTCTGAACCATGGGGCCAGGTTCTGAAGGCAGATTCTGTGGCCCGTGGCAGATCCTGTAAAGTGACCCTGGGTGGTGGATGCCCTCAGAAGAACTGTGCTGGAGCTGGACAGCTCAGCACCCCAGAGCTGGGACCTCTGGGCAGGGCAGACTGAGCTCTCCATATGACCCTGTCCCCATCCCTCCCTTCTGGAGAAAGGGATGAGATTCTGGGAGCACAGGGGACATCAGCCCTGCCAGGTCCCATCACATCCTGCTCTGGGATCCATACTGTGAATCCAGAATGGGCTTCAGCTTCTCCGAGGATTTCAGAGCTTTCCACCCTGCATGTCAAACAGAGGTACAGTGGGCAGCACCCAGACCTGGGCACTCGTCTCCTCTGGACACAACTGGGCCTGGTCCTGGGAGGGGGAATACGCCCCCCAGGTGTGGGGAGCTTGCCTCCTGGTGCATTATTCCTGAGGACCACCCCTGGCCCCAATAAACTCTTCAGCCTGACATTCAGGGTTCTCCCAACAAACCCTCAACCTCGGCTGCTTGGTCAGCCTCCCTCCTCTCTCCCCCACCAGCAAGCTAATCTCCAGTCCTTAAGACTCGTGGGCGCAGGGCTCGCCCACCTCAGGCGCACCATGCCAGGGCATTTGTTACTCCTCCTCGCTCTGCTCAGACTGGCCTGGCAGCAGCAAGACATTTAGCCTCATCACCTTTTCCTTGTGAGACAATGTTAGTGGGGAGCACACCTGTATAGAGAGCCCTGCCCAGTGCTTGTCTCAGTCTGAGAAGGACACTGAGGCATATCTCTAGTTACAGGGGGCCAAGGGGTCTTGAGTCCAGCCATGAT